ATAAGTAAATAGTAAATATTGTTTTGTTTTCCACATAGGAATACAATAAAATCTATACTTGCTGTTGACTTGTTATAAAGAATACTACTAAATCATAGCACTGGGTTGTTTGTTTTGTTTTATTCTTTGATTTTGTTTTGTGTTTTTCCATCAAAAAAGAAAATTATGTTTACTGCCTTCTCTAATATATGATGTTAATTTTTTTTTTTACACAAAATTTTAAAATTTTCTTTGGGTAGGTATGTAGTACGTGGATTGGAAGTGGAGTTGTCAGTGATCTTAATGATCTCCGTCGAGTACACAATCTTCTTGTTTCTTCTCTGGACAAGGTTCAGGCTGGAAAAGGATCTTCTAGCCAACTGTACCGAGAGAGTGCCACAACCATGGAAAAACTGGCTGTTCTCAAAGCTTGGGCAGAGGTAACCATGACCTGTTGTTTTTGAACCATTTGTCCATCCATGAGAAAATATTCCACCATTCCTGTTGGTAAAAAAGTTTTTGTTTGATTTTTGTTTTTTAAAAACTGACCCTTGGGGCCGGCCCGGTGGCGCACTGCTACAGTGCGCCGCTTGAGAGCGCGGTGGCGCTCCNAATCTCTGATTTCTCACTCTTTTTTCATCTCCCTGCCCCGATTCCCTAAAAATATCTAATTGATTTCCAAATCCTGTGATTTCTACCTGTTAGTCCCTCTCAGATGCCTCTCCTTTTTCATTTCATTCCCAGTTTGATCCAGATCATCTCTGTTCAGTATTGTAATAGACACAACTGAACATATTGCTTACTATCTATACACATCCCTTCCTGTACATAAGTACTGGAGCAATTTTCCTAAAGCACAATTCGAATCATATCATCCCCCTATTCAGAAGCCATGGAAACTCACGATTGCCCAAGAATGAATTCAATTCACATGGAATTTTAAATTTTACCATAATTTGATCTCATTTAACTTTCCCAGTAGCATTTCTTCCTCATGTAACTCCCCTATGTCTGTACACACAAACTTTCCTGATACCTAAATGTTCCCATTTCACCTGCTAGAATTAATCTCTTCCTTGTGTTTTTTTTTTTAAGTGTAGTATCACAGTCATAAAACATTCCCATGTGTTCATTCAATCTGTGTTTTCTTACTTGGGGATAGGGACTGGGTTTCTTTCCTTTATTTTTTAAATCTCTGCCATACCAGCTAGCATACTCTTTTGCCTGTGGTAAGCAGAAATCCTGTTGAAGAGTTATTGAGACTGAACTTCTTTGGATGGAAAATTCTATCTGTAAAATTTTTGTTGAATTAGACAATAGAAATATAAGTAAATAGTAAATATTGTTTTGTTTTCCACATAGGAATACAATAAAATCTATACTTG